AGCACTTTTGATTCATATAGTCAAATCACGTTCGCGCTTCTTTCTCACACTTCTTGTTTTTATTTTCTTCATAAAATAATCTCCTTAATTATTTGGGACCTAAAAAAAAGTCACTGATGGAGATAACATTAGGAGACAAAGCAACTTGTATAGTCTATTTTTCACCTCCTCACAAAGGTACAATAGGTGCAACTTGTCCTTTAGTACCATGTGAGAGTAAAAACACTACTACATCTATATTGTGCAGGTTGGTTTTGCACTCAATACAAAAAAATGGATAAGCACATATAATATTATTTTTTGTCTTTACCCAACCAAGATAAGGACATGATCAGCATTGCATAAGACAAAATAACTACAATTATTTTTTTTCTTGAAGAATATGTATTTGTTATTAACATTTAAAATTGTGAAAAATATACATATATGTGTTAAGCAAGATCATCATATATCTTATTGATTCATTACTCTTTTCATTTTCTTCTTCTTTTTTCCTAATATATTTCCTATGTTCCTTAAGTTCTTCTTTAGTACTCTTCCTATTACTATGGGAGTTTTGACCATACATACTACTATTATGAGAATGATCACTCATTTTTGTTTGAAAAAGGTTTTCATAAAAGTTTGCAAGTAAAAGCAAAAATGGAAGTGATAAGGATTTTCACAAAAGCTTTGAGTGTGAGTGTATGTACATGCACCCCTAATAGGCAAGGAAGCCTTCTAAAACAAACTTGGAATTCCCCTAAATGAATTTGGAAATAAACTAGCGAATAAAGCTATAAAGAAAACAAGTAAAAGCATATACTAGTCGAATTCCCTAGGATGGAAGTCTAAGTGATAATTAGAACCCCTTAGAACACTTCCACAAGTACTAAAAGTATCTAGAAAGCAAGTAAACTAGATGAGTCGCTAGTGGAAGCCTAAGTGACACTTGGAGCCCTTTAAAATACTTCCACAAGTACTAACGAATATTAGGTTTCACTATAAAACTTAGGAGAGATAGGCAAACACCAAAAGTTTCCCAAGTCACTCCTAATAAGTCAATACAAATACAATAATAGCAAGGAATATGAAGAGTCCAACAACTAAAGATTGCAAATGAAATGTAATCCAAACAAGGTAGAAATAGATTTAGAGACAACTTTTGAGACGGATTTTGTGACGGATTTGGTTGCAATGAAAGAAATCCATCTCTAATTTTTGTCACTAATCCTATTTTGAAATTTTCCTACAAAATGAAGACACAAGTTAGCCTCACCAAAGTTTTTCACTCAATACTTTAAGTACCTCAATCTCCCAAAAGTTGTAGCCCCCATTTGAAGTGGTTCTAATATGTCTCAATTATCAACTTCTTTCCAAGTGTGAGGACTTGAAAATGAACTTATCACCACCAAGAGATAACAACCAACAAAAGAGAGTGGAAGCCAATAAAATCTAGACTAAAAAGCATAATTAGAAAATACTAAACTCAAGTAAGAATTAATGTGACAAATTCAAAGAATATTGAAAGACACAAAGCAAACAAATAAAGGACAATTTCAACACTAGCTTTCAAAGGAATAGTCCTAGAAATGACATTAAAGTTGATTACAAAATGAAACAAAAATTTTTGCTAAAATTTTGAGAGTTTTTAATGTATTTCCAACCACTGGACAAAGAGTAACCCAAAGGAAAAAAGAAATACACAAAAAATTACAAGGCCAAGTGCTACAAACTTTCTTTATTTTACACTTTTGTTTTCTTTTTCTTTAGTTGCCTTCTTGACCCTTTCTTTTCTTTATTTTTTTACATTGAATATGAGCACTAAATAGAGGCCTAACAATGAATTAAAAAGGTTTACAAGTAGTGGAAAAAGGGTATAGGAAGTGTAAGTGTACTAGACAAGTTTCTATGTTACTAGTAACTAGTTTTGCTTCTCTAGTTTGTTCTCTTTTTTGTACACTTTCTTTAATTTTTGTTTTACCCTTCCGAATCTGATTGTATATCTCAAACAAAGCACAAAAGACTCAAAGAATTCTGGCCTTAAAATGCTAAGTAAGAGCAAGTGAAGTTCACAAAATATGACACTAGAACGTGTTAGATTTAATAACATGCATATATGAATCATTCAATGAGTACTTCTAAGAGTATGTATATGTGCAACCAACAATATAACCAAACCAAAACAGAGACTAATGCTTATAGATTTCAAAAGAAAAAGGCACACAAGAGAAGTAATGACAATTAAAGCAACTACACAAAACTTCTAAGACAAAACTAAGAGATTAAGAAATGAAAAATACATTCAAACATTCAACAACTTGTTTTTCTTTGAAATTTTCTTTTGACCGAATATTTTGGAGTTTCAAATAAGATATAAGCAAACCTAAAATATTAAAATACAGGTACAAGAATATCCTAAAGGAACACAACAAGATTGATTCACAAAGATTGATTATTGAATCAAAAACATGCAAGACAAAATGAATTGTTCTATAGATTTACAGTTGTGACACAAGAACAATTTTAATCCATACAAACACTATATAATCATAAACAACACATATAGCATGAATTAAGACACTAAACAAAGTGATTTAAACGAACAAAAACATATAAGGAAGCTTAAGGAAAGTGTTTACTAGGAAGAACTTTCTTTTGATACCAAATGATAGAAACCTTATGTTGGAACCAAATTGATGTGGTTTTATCTTCAAGTTTCTTCCCAGATCTTTTGCTTCTTGCCACTCTTCAAGCTTCTTCAAGGTCTCCAATTGAGAAAGAGACCTCTGGTTTCACCTTCAAAGGTGAGGAACTCTCTTCAAGTAGTGTCACTTCAAGGTAGAAGATAAACCACTTCAACTCTCACCACACTCTTAGAAAGAAGATAAGAGAATTGGAAGCAAATCAAAAAGAGAATTTAAACTTTTGAGAGAGAGAATTCATAATAGACAACTCGGTCAAATATTATATATGATTCAAAAGTGAGTTTTACTAGTGAAAAAACATATATATAGTGGTGGAAAAGCTTGTAGAGCAAGTTAGACAAGATAGAGATAAGGTGGGAACACTTAGATCTAAAAGAGTCAATCATAGAATGTCAAGTGTCACCTTGTCTCTTAGGAGATAAGAAGGAGACACTTAGATCTAGAAGAGTCAATCATAAAGTACCAAGTGTCACCTTGTCCCCTTGGCAAGCCAAACAACAAGGTGTGTTGGAGAAGCTAAGCAATCTTAACCAAGAAGAAAGCTAGGTGGTCATGCTTGGTTTTTCTTCATTTAATCCAATACAAAAACTTGGAATTGGTTTAGTTAGGTTCACCAAATGATGGTGAGACCTAGTTAAATCAATTCTTTGGATTAAATGAAGAAAAACAATTCCTTGGATTAAATGAAGAAAAACAATTCCTTGAATTAAATGAAGAAAAACAAGTCTAATATGTAAAATTTGGCCTAGTTATAGACTCACTAAAGGCTCAATTGTTAACTTCACCTACACATTTGCTACTTGCTACCCCACTACTAAAACTAAAAATATGAAAATCTATGACCCTTAATACAAGGCCAAATGAAGTAAAAGTCTCCAAGCAATATACCCTAAAATTCTAAGGGTATGACCTACAAAGAAAGATAAAGGTGTCTTACAAATATAAAGACAAAAATAAGCTTATAAATATCTACTATATACAAGGTAAAAGAACTCAAACTATACAAGCTATGTACAATAGAGACTATGAGACTAAAAATATGAATCATACTCAATGTTCATATAGAACATAGGTCTAAGAAGTACATCCTCTATAGAAGCCTCCTCTAGCCTCTTAACGATAAACCTAGTTAAAGGTCCAATAGTCTTCAAGTGTGAGCTCTTTGTGTATGGTCCTCCATCACACATCATTTGTCTTAAGATTTGTGTCTTATGCTTTGTCTAATTTGTATTTTGTAAAAATATTTTTCTTTAGAAAAATATTCTATTTGTTATCATTAAAACTTGAAAGATGAAGGGATCCAATATCATCTTTTGACTTAACATATGTCTAAAATAAACATTTTACGTAAAACAAAATTAAATTAGTATTTGGAATTTAAAAAATTCTTAAATTTTAAATTCCTTAAATTTTTCATCCAAACAAAAAATTTCACTCTAATATATTTAAAATTCTTAAAAAATTAAATTATTCTATTAAAATCTCTTATCCAAATACACTCTTATGGTGTGTTTGGATGAAAAATTTTAGGAATTTAATGAATTTGAAATCTTTATAATATGAATTATTTTGATTTCATTTTTCATCATTTTTTAAATGTTTTGTTTAGATAAGTCAATTGAAATTTCTTAAATTTTAAATTCTTTATTTAGATATGATAATTCGATTTTCACCATGATTAAAATTATATATATATATATATATATGTTGAAATTTTAAGATTAAACTTTATAAAAATAAATATTAGCTAATTTTTAAATATTTAATAATTTTAAAAATTAATATTAGATAATATTTAATAATTAAAAATATTTTTGTATATTCAATAATTAAGATAAGAAATTGAGAGAGAGAAAAATGAGGAAAGAGAAAAAACAGATAAGGTTGAGAGAAAATAGAGTATTAGAGATGGAAGAAAGAAAAACAAAATGAAACATAAAAAAATGGGAGAGACATAAATATGAAAATTTTCAAATTCTTACTTTTTTTTAAAAAATTTAAAATTTTACTATTTTAAAAATTTGCACAAATATATAAATTTTAAATTTTTTAAAAAATTTCACTCTAAAATATTTAAAATTAAAGAAAATTAAATTACTCCATTTAATTTTTTTTTTTATCTTTAATCTTACTTGAAACAAATACACTTTTTTGATGATAATTATCAATGATCAGACAAATAAAAAATGAATTGAACAATCAAATTTAATTGGTTTTCACAGAAAAAAAAAAAAAAAAAAAAAAAAAGAGAGAGACAGAGAGAAATTTAGACAGATTTCCATTTTCCAACATTTTACTAAAGAGACAAAGACAGATCCTCCGAATCTGGATCCCTTTCTCGATCCTCTGCAATGCTCTCCCTCACCCTACTCTTCCACGACGCATAGTGCTGCAATAACAAGTCGTTGCAATTTCACTCAACCAAACCAAACCTTACAATTTTTCATCACTTTACGCTCCACCCACTCAAAATCTTATTATTACAATAATTATTTTCTCACATTTCAAGTTCAGATCCTTGATCCTTCAATTCAATTCTCTTTCTCAATCATTGGAACCTTCAAACATCACATTCTCTTCACTTCTGCTTCCACTGCGATCCAATGATTCCCTTCCTTCGCTTCACTCTCTTCCCCAAATCATAGAAAACCCCATTACAATGAACAATTACCCTTTTGGATCCCAAGGCCCCAAGTCCTTCCTCGCATACCAGAAAAGCGATTTCGACTTGGAATCAGGAACCGCACCAAAACGAACCCGAAAGCCTAAAAATCCCAACTTTCACCCCTTCAGAATGATGAAATCATTTGGGAACCGTTTCCACCACTTCCTCAAGCTCCACCCTCTAATGGGTCTCTTCCTGGCCCTATCCTTTGTGATCACACTTGTAACAATTCTGTCTTTGTACCGAACCCCTTATAGGGTTCAGAATGTTTATGCAAAAGCTGACATGGGTTCTGATGATTACCCCTTTTCCAAGCTTCAGAACCTTGTGATGGTTGCTGGGCATTCCATTTACACTAGTAGTAGTTGTGGCAAAATTGACAAAGAGGACTCCTGGTTTTTGGAGTCATATCAGAAGAATCCTGGGCAGGCTGCCACTTTTGTGACACACATTCATGAGGGGACTGCAGTTGCAGCAAGGGATAACTCTGCATTGCTTCTCTTCAGTGGTGGAGAGACACGGCGAGATGCTGGTCCCCGTAGCGAGGCGCAGAGTTACTGGGCCGTTGCCGATTCGAAAGGGTGGTTTGGTGAGTTGTGGTGACTGTTTTGGCACTTGCATTGTGGCATGTTTTGTGATTTGTGAAATTTAATGCCTGGTCATGTTCATTGTTGGGGGTAGGAGACATTGCCAAAGGAGAAGGAATAGAATAGAATTGCCTGATTGTATTGTTCTTGTTGTTTGTCATGTGCTTGGCACATTAGGGGAATTTATTGGCAGACAGTAGGATGGGAGCAATTACAGTACTTAATGAAATATAGGTCTAATAGTAATTATCATTAGCATGTATGTATTGTTTTGTATTTATTAAAATTAGTTGAATAGTTACTGTCTTGTTGACAATTTAGGGCAGAAATCTAGGAGAAATTATGTATTATTAAATGTGTCTAATAGGGGAACAAGGGGTGCGAGTGTGCATTTTTTTTTATCAGTTTCAACTATGTATTATAAGGGCAGTTATTTTGTGTGGTTTGATGGTAGACAGTTATTAGTTTTATAGGAGCAGTTATGTAAATTTCGTATAGAATATGACCTGTAGGAAAGTTGTCGCAGGCAGGGTGCATTTGGAAGTTCTTTGGACAAGGCTATGGCTAATTGACCAATGTTGGGTCATTTACAAACAATTTACCAATCTGAGACTTTTTTAAGGTTTGATCAATCTGGGGTAGTCAATGCTTCCATTCCACGTCATATTCGATTTAAAATGCCATGCATAGTCCACGTGGAATACAACACTACTACTAGCATCTTCTGAAAGCACTAGTTGCAGTGTAGTATTCTACATGGAGTACAAGTACGTAGCACCTACATGGATCAAAGATTTGCTTCAATGTGGAAAACTTTTGTATTACTAACATTTTCACTATTGACATGACTGCTCGTCAACTACAATTTTTTTATCGTTTTAGAAAACACTGACAAGAGTAGCATTTTTGCTTTTCAACAAATACTGACAAATAGTCAGTGTGCAAAGCTTTGTAAGCTTACTAAGCACTAGCCATGTAATTATCGAATTATGTAAAATGACTGTACATTGGTCAATTACCTTTACTACTGGCTAGCTCCCCGTCATCAAGTTAAGCTTTTTTTTTTTTCTTTTTCACCAAAGCTAGTCGTTTGAATTTAAACCAAAATAATGAATATGTCCTTTCCAATTTCAATGTGAACCAGTGTAGCTTTATTCCCAGCTATTAGAGTAAAGAGTTTTATCCCTATTGTTTGTATTAATCTGTTTGTCATGTGTTGTAAGCTGAGTGGCTGTTGCCACATCAGCTGAGTCTGTAGCTTCTCATGTACTATTTCTGTAAGCTATATTAACCGATCTCTTCTTTGTTGAGATCAGAAAATCAATGATACAGAAGAATCTTACTACAGATTTATCTCTTTCAGTTTCTCTAGTTTCTACACGTTATCCAGAGGTTTCCTCATGAAGACAAACTTTCAGTTCATGTGAGTGTCATGTGTACTCCACGTAGAATACTACACAACATATATATATATATATATATATATATATATGACATGACATGGAAAACACAAGTCAAATCAACGTTTTATAGCATTGACTACCCTAGATTGATCAAATGCTTTTAAAGAGTCCAAATTGGTAAATTGTTTGTAAAATGACGCTTCATTGGTCAATTAGCCCAGGGTTATTCTATGTTGGAGTCTTTTAAACTCTAGGACAGCTTCTGTAATTTTCTATTCAATTAGTGTAATGTTATTTACTGTTTGAGGACAGAGAATACTCTGTATAGAAGACTTTTGCTTTTGGGACAACAAGTCTTATGCTATATTAGGTGTGATTTCAGTGTTCAATATTATATTTTGTTACTTTTTCAATTAGTGTTGTATCATGTAGCTGCTTTAGATATTTAGTTTGTTGCTGTTCAGTCACTAGTGTATCATTCACTATGCGTGAAGCATGAATGTATGTCCAAAAACAAATATCAAATAGTAGTAATAAAAGAAAATTGAACATGGTAGATTCGGTAGGGAATTGAGCTGGTCTTGGGAAGCACTTCTGCAACCCTTGTATGCGAATGGAACATGAGAATTGGTAAATTGAATTGTAGTTTTCTGAACTATTGTCATCTTTTCTCATTAGCAACAAGATCATATCCCATGGGAAGTCCAAAATTTATTAAAATTTGACATATCATCTGTTAACTCGTATCAGAATTATTTTTCACATTTTCAAGTTATACAAGATTTCTTTTATTGCTTACCAGTCATCTGTCTATGTGTAACATAAATAGGATTAGTGCATGAATTAGGCATGTAAATTTGATAATTTGATGACTTAACTTTATTATACAAAGCAACTTTAATTCCAATATTTGGTTTCAATGCTGCATTTTGAGTATACTCTTTCTTTTTGAGTCAGACTTCTGTGATTTGAAAACATGTAAAATCATGGGAAATTTTCTCTAAATAGGCAAAGAAAGGAAAGCACAGGCAGGAGGTTTCTTCTGTAAGAAAAGTGTTTTCTTGGCCCTGGTTATGATTTTAGGAAGAGATACAATTACAAAGCCTTAGTTTCAACAGGCTGTACTCTGATTACTTGTTTCTGCCTTGCTCCTATTAACTTATGAATATGATAATAGAGATCTTGTCGTATTCATTCAGATACTATTGTACTTTTTGTTACTAATAAAATTTCTTTGCGTTATGATTTTAATGCATACCCAATGAATCCCACTTCGTTAGACGCTCAAAATTTTACTATAATTTTGTAATGTTAGCTTGATGAATCTCTGCTACATCATTTACCTCTGTTTTCTCATGGTTTTGATATGGATGACAGTGTTTCACACCTTTAGTTTATTTGCATATGCTTCCGTAATGAACTGCTTTTATCAGAGATTATCTCATTCTTTTGGGCTGTTTGTGCAGGTAAGGAAGAAAGTGTCAAATGGAGAGCACTTACGGAGGAGCATGCACGAGACAGCTTTGAAAATCTTCTATTTAGTGTCTGTCGATTCCGGGAGCTTACTGGCACCTATCCCCAAAATATAACTGTATGTAAGCTTTACTTATGAGTTATGACTTACGAAGCATTCTATTCCTTTCATATAAAGATGGAAATGTCAATATTTGTGTGGAATTGTTAATAGTAAATGGAACAGAGGAAAATGAATTTATTAAAAATATGTGGCCACTGGCCAGACATTCGTTGCATGACAAACTTTTGCTGCTCAGATTTTATGGCTGCTGGGAAATACTCTGAAATTAATTGGTCCCATATGTAACTAATGTTCATACAGCATACATGTTGCATATGAAGTCTATCATTTTGTATGCCCAATAAAATTAACATGGAGTTATCTTTGAGGATCCTGCATTGGTTTCCCTTGTTACCTGTTGCTAAATCTTAAACATGTGAAGTAGCAGAGAAGCAACAAGGAATTATTAATTACTAATATTTAAGAGGGAAAAATATTGAAGTTATTGTTCTTATTTGTAACATTTGCACCATATAAATATGTGATCCCATGAACCTCCATGGAGTAACAAATTTTGGCTTTTATTATTGCATTTAGAACTTTGCATGGTGGTGGCCACTGTGATGCCATGGACATTTGACATACTTTCACATCATTTTCCTAATATATTTGTCGCATATTCCAATCTGATTTTTTGGATCTGGGGATCATATTATTATTATAAGTTACAATTTCTAGGAGAAAAAAATTAGCTTTGTTGTGGCATTTAGAGCTTCCTTGCATGATGGCCACTATGATAACATACACATTTTTGACATGCACTCATTCAATCTGATCTGTTGAATCTGGGAATCAGGTTGTAAGTTATGATTTCAAGGAAAAAAGATTTGCGCATCTACATCGATCAGCGATCGGCTTTCCAGAATCAAGGTTCTTCTATGCTGGAACTCCTGCCACGTCAAATGCAAAAGCAGCTGCTCAAAAGGGTGAGGAATTGGTTAGAACTCAATTCCAAAGAGATCCATATGGATGTCGAGGTTCACTTTATCACAAGAAACTAAAGCGTGACCCTTTTCATCGTTCAATTCCTTATCCAAATGGATGTCCTGAAATTGAAGGTTTATTCAGATATTGTGGACCAACTCCTTATCCTGGGGCACTCCCATGGGCGCAGTAAACATGACACAGTCAAATGATACAATTGTATACTAACAAAATAGAGATATTAGAAACAAATTACGTTGACTTGACATTGCATGAATTAATTTGTTGATAAATGATGTGAAGATAAAATTTTGTTCAGAGGAGATAATGATAAATTGTGTAGATTAAAATGTTGTTGCATGTTTGTGTGAGGAGCCTTATTAAAATTCGGAGTTTTCAAATTGACGGTTGAAAGATGCATTTTGTTACATGTGTTGTTGCCTTAATGTTGATACAGATTTTGTCATGACGATAAATATTGAAAGAAATTATGTCCATGCTTTATGTTTCTACCCTTGGAAATGTTGGCACGTATGTAGGACTTGTTGCATAACTGTTATTTATATTGCATTCTGATCTGAGCTAATGAAATGGTTTTGTCAAACAAGCCCCGAAAATCTGTATTTAAACATCAGAAATGTCCCTTAAAATAAACTCCTTTTTGTTCATTTTGGCGTGAAATATGAAATTTTATTTTGATGGAAGAGATACTAGATTTTCTCATCTGATTTCATTACATCTGAACATATTGGTTATGCTTAGTACATTGTTGGGATAAGAGGGCATGGTGTGGCAGTTGTACTGCCACCTTGGTATACGGAAGCTTGAAAAGACATAACCAAGCAACAATCTAAGGGTAGAGTGTTCGGTTCTTACCTGCATCTTAAAGCTAAACGCCTATTGCTTATAAGATACATCCACTGGAGTATGATGATCTGGCAAGGTGAGTTGCTAAAACTTGAGCATCGTTTCTCATACAAAAGAGATGGTTGCTTAAGAATTAAAAATGATTCAATGGCTCAACCAGAAGATTTCAATGAATTCTCATACAAAAGAGATGGTTGCTTAAGAATTAAAAATGATTCAATGGCTCAACCAGAAGATTTCAATGAAGAGGGAATAAAATAGAATGCGTTCAGAAACCAGTAAAATCAAACCTACACCGTGAATATATAGAAGTTGATTGAATTAAAATAATTAAATTAATATAATTTGACTTAAAATTAAGTATAAATAAAAAGTATAAAAATAAGATTTGTTTATAAGAAACACTATTGAAGTAAAATGCATACAAATTATTTAAGAGTTGTTCAAGTATTATGTGACATTGTAGAACCTACTTAAAGTAAGATAGGAAACCAAAGTGAGTATCTTATTAAATACAACATTGGAGATATTATGAGGATCTTTAAACAAAGACCTTAGAGAATTTCAAGTCCTAATCCAATTGTTACCATGATAAAATATTATTCATAATCTATTGTATGAGAAAGGTCTTCTATCTCCTATTGTCAACTATAAAATTGGTTCTCAATTATGATCAATAGTTTGCCCACTTTTCTCTTCCTCTCTCTCTCTCTCTCTCTCTGATGGAATCATGCCAAGACCAAGAAAATCAAGAGGTGATACATTGAAGGACCTAAGAGGAATGGGTTAGTCTTGAGGACCATAGGGGCCTACTTTTGGGTTAATTGGCCTTAACTCATCTTGGGCTTTGGGCCTCTAACCAAAAGCCCAATACCTCTCATATGATTGTATATTAGTCTATATTATAAGTATCATATTTTTCTAGCCTTGTATTTTGGCTGGGTAGAGTTTAGTATATAGTAGTTACTTTGCCTTTGTATTTGTAAGATATTTTCTTTATTTTCTTATAGGATATTCCTTTAAGACTTTAGAGTGTGTTACTTGGAGACTTCTGCTCCTTTTGACCTTGTATTAAGGGTCATTGATTTTCATATTTTCAGTTGTAGAAGTGGGGTGACAAATAGTAAGGTGTGTAAGTGTAACTAGTAATTGGGCCAAAAGTGGACCTAGGCTAAATTTTACATATTGGGCTTGTTTTCTTCCATTTTTTCCAAGGAATTGATTTAGTTAGGTCTCACCATCATTTGGCGAACCTAACTAAACCAACTCCAAGATTTTTGGATTGGACTAAATGTGGGAAAACACCTTGGTCGCCTAGCTCACTTCCTTGGCCGAATTAACCTAGCTTCTTCTACACACTTGGAAAGCTAGTGTTACAAGCTTCTAACTTAGCTTGCTTCCCAAGCTTCTAAGTTAGAAGCTTGCTCCACAAGCCTCCTAAACTAATTAGAACGGTTAGCTTGAATGTAAGAAGGCTAACCATGGTTCTCCTTGAACCATGGTTCCCTTCACTATATAAGTCTTTTCCTTGACTTTGTAAACACTTTTAATGTTAATGAGATCAGAATTTTCAGAAATCTCTACTTTCAAAGATCCAAACCTAGGAGAAAACCTTCTCTTTAAGAACCTTCACAAAGGATTCCTTCCTTTGTGCCTTGGTTCCGAAATTCTTCTTCTTCTTCAAGAAGATTGCCACGCCATTCTTAGTTGCTTCCTTCAAACTTTGAAGAGTTTGAAGCTTTGTTTTGTGAAGTTCAATACCTCAAGAGAAGATTGGACATGAAGATGGAGCTAGGAGAAGATCAACAATCACTTCTACTAGTCACTTCCATCACTCTCTCGCTCTCTCTCTCTCTCTCTCTCTCTCTCTCTCTATATAGTTCACAAACACTCCATATTATAGATGCTCTTATATACATATGTTTATATTTATTAAACTATTATATCACATATACTTATATTGTTGCTTATTGGTAAAATACATTACAAATACTTGATTGGATTGAAGATGTTCTTTTATATATATATATATATATATATATATATATAAGTGTGTGTTTTATGTTGAGTAATGCATGTTCTTGTGTTTGGTTGAAGTTACTGGGTTTGCTCGCTCAAAGCACCCATGGAGCTCACTCAAGTGAGCTAAAGCAACCAATTTAGAGGTAGTCTTTGACTTGCCTCACTTGAAGTGTTTACTTAGTCGCTCTAAGCAAATTTTTGTTTCTCAAAGAAAGAACTTACCCACTAAAGCAAGTTGATCACACCTTCTAGGAATGCTTTTTATTTGAGCTTGCTCAGAGCAGGCTATTAGTGCTTGGAGCGAATTTTGTTCGCTCAAAGCGTGCTCTTCATGGCTTGAAGCGATTGTCTCTTTGAGACTTGTAACTTGGCCATATTTTCTTTCTATATTGTGTTGTGATCTACATGGGGTATGTTATTGTGTAGTGTTGTGTTGTGTTGTAATGTGCATGAGGTATGTTATTGTGTAGTTTTGTGTTGTGATATGCATAAGGAATGTGTTGTGTATAGTATTATGATAAGATGCATGATGCATAATGTTGGATTGTGTTGTGAAGTTAGGATTAAAGGAGAGATGTTGTTTTGAAAGTTGAAATATCTCATTGTGTGGATATGTGTTGTGACACTCTAAAAGCCCAATTGTTAAAAAACCCTTTTTGAGTATTGTTGTCCCTGAAGTAGAGTTTTGAGTCTCCTTTAAGTGCTCATTTAAAATTGCATGCGGGTCAAGTTGAGCCATACTGGTTTAGAAGCGGCCAATTTGAGTAAAGTATGAAGTTGATGGATAAAATTCTTAATTGATTACTAGAAATGTGCGTGGTATCATGAGGATAGTTGGTGGGCTATTCTCATATGTGACTTGGTTGATGCATGTCAATGTCGTGACAAACCCACACCCAAGTTATGTTATACCTAATGACAAGTATTGGACTTTCTTAGTGTAAAGAAAAATTTGAGGAATCGTGTTGAGTTATGGATTGATGTCCAACTTTGTTTTTGATCCAGAAAGCCAAAAAGATTGTATTGTTGTTAGTTTAATAGGGTCAAACCACTTAGATGGATAATTATAAAAGTATTTTATGTGTCAATTTGAATTAATAAAACCAAGTATCAAATTGTTTTCAAATTTTTAAAAAAATTTCAAACTTGATCTATACATTAAAAACTTTTAATTCAATGGTTGGATCGTTGAAATTCAATAAAGAACATAAGTTCTTAAGTGGAGTAAGTTTAGGTAGACTTATTCTTGGAGTACATGAATCCTTCCCTCTATATATGTGTGTGTGTGTGTGTGTGTGCAAGGTTTGGTTATCATCCCATTGAGGAAAATTATGTTTTCAATTGATTCTTCCTCATATATGGGATTACTTGCATGACAATCCTAGGTTATATTATATTTATGTTTTCTGTGGCATTGTAGCGGAGTTATAAAGTGTACAAACTTGTCAGTTTATTATAATTAAAATAGTTCCCTATAAGATGAAGTTGTTATGATATGAACATGGAAACAAAACAGATCATCTTGAAGAATTCATATTTAGGAATTAGATTTAGGGTTTCTTTTATATAAGGATATTGATGCAACACTCAAGAAAAAGATGACAAGGTGAGTGATAAATTATAGGATTGATAGCCATAAGTTCTCTTGATAAAATCATATTTAGTTCTTTGCCCAAGAACCAAGGGAAGCTCTCACAAAAGGAGAAAACTCATATTTCATTCTAATTCAACATGTTTCAAAACTACAAAGTGGTCTCTATTTATAGGTTAAGCTTCCTTTTAATCTTTCCACTAAGAATTTAATTCCTACTAAGAAGTTAATCTCCACTAACACTTTCCTAGCCATTAAATTCTCACTTGCATTAAGTTCTCACTAATCCGTTAACCATCATAATTGTTTAGGAAACCTAAAGGCACTTGAATCTAACCTAGAAAAGATATATATAAAAAATGTACTTATTCTTTCTTATTTTTTTGTGGTACATATCTATACTTATTCATATAAAGTTATAACATCTTTTTTTTTTTAGGGTTTGATCTCTTATATAGTCTATTGCTAGCCCTCTTGATTTTTTATTAGCACAAATAGAGACAAAAACAATGTCATTGCTTGTTTTCTATCAAGTATGAAATTAGACAAGTATTGCAATCAAAATTTATCAAGGGATGGTTTAGGGGATAGGGATTATTGCACTTAGAAAAGAGACATGCTTGAAGTGTACTTTAGTACCATAGCCTAGTCTTTTATACATGATGACCTCCACCATGTGTTTGTTTTCCATATAATGAATGACATAAAATCAAACTAATATCAATTGGTATAAAAATTTCTTAATCCTTATTACTTGTTTTCTCTTACTTTAAAGTTCTTACATTTTTATGATATGGTTCAATGAAAAGATAAAGTAATTGGACAATGACAGTTCAATTGTATCTACAAATAAATTAAACACAAAATAGATACATCAAGATGCACACCTTGACAACACCAACAACATTGTTTTCTTAAGGTCTAATGAAAAAAACATCATATATGGTTTGTATTACCTATACAAAATAAACAATATTTGTTTACACCATTTAAAAGCAATTGTTGTGCAAAATAAAAAAAAAAAAATTAAATAATAATCCTATACTATTTATAAACCCAAAAGCTAAATCAAAGCCTTATATTCAATTGTTGTACACAATTTGCATATCCGAAAACTAATACTACTAATGCAATGTAAGTAACATTATACCTTCATGTTAGCAACTTCCTTTTTCCTCTTTGGTGGTGTAATGTGTGGACCAACAATACTTGCAACATTCTTTATCAGACCAGTTCTAGCATTACCATTGAGTATATGTTGTAATAAAAGAAAAATCAACATATTCTATATCACAATTGCTTGCATTTCGGTAATCAATATTTCATACCATAGCATTTGCATTTCCAATAGTTGTAGTAACAATTGCATTTCCAGTAGTATCATGACTAGGATTAACATTTACTATGCCCTACAAAGAAAACAAAAACTTAGCATTTCCAATTATTGTGAAATAACTACATGCAATTAATTATTAAAATCACCAATGTTATTGGTGTAGCCTAATTTTGGAAACAAGCATCAATTAGTTCATTGGTTGTGATAATTTCAATCTTAGTCACATCATCTACAACACATGGAGGTAGCTTACATTTCCTTCTATTATGGCCTACATTGTAGCACCTGTTATACATGTTCCTAGTATTTTACCTTTTTAGTTTAGTGGGTATTGGATCTTCATCTAGATCTCTTATTCGTAGTTTTTTAGGTCTTCTTGGTCCACATTTATAAGTAAGAGGTAAAATAGGTTCATTGCTAGTCTTGGGCCATAATCACTCTCCATTAATAGGGACAATGAAATGGCCATAACACTTTTGATATGCCTCTCTTGAGTAATATTTATGTACATACATTTCAAGATCTTCTCCCAAATACGTAATGACAGTCATTGCAAGCCTACAAGGGATCCTAATCACAATTTTTAGTGCAAATTGCCCTTACTTTTCTTGAGTTATTCTTTACAAACTTTATTTGATGTTTATTCAAAACTAAATGCTCACGAGTAACATATATTTCCCAAATTTTCCTTTGTGGAGGAAAAATATGGAGAGTTCACTCCTTGTACCCAAGCATAAAATATAAAGAAAAAAATTTTCTAAGAAATGCTGTTTTTAGAAAAGTATTATTGATTCACCACTAGGTAGTAAACATGGTAATAAAATTACCATTCAACCAATAAAACTATTAAGAATTTAAAAGAAATTATAATTGGCTACATATATTACACTATCAAAACTAGAAGTAGTGGTTGATGTTGACTCTTTCAATTAACACAAAAAAGAAAGAATAAAATTGATAATCAATAAGTTTAACCCATAGTTTGCTCAACTTTTTACTCAAGGGAAATTCTTATTCAAACGGGTTATTAAATTAATTGAATCACAATTTTAAGAATCATTGGACCAACATATAATTAGTGTTGTTTTGATTCGAGAACAAGTGCATGTACATGACAATAACACGCAACGCGACAAGGGGAGGTGGCTCTATTAACAAGATAATAAAAAAGGGGGAAAAAATGAACAAGCAATAAAATTGAAGCTTGCTGAATTGCTCTAGTAAATTATGTCACTAAATCACATGCAATCACTAGAAATTCTTGGAACCTTTTTCGATTTCACAACGAGATGCACAACTGCCACATATAATTCTTGCACGATTTGTTGTTAAGAGTTCAAATAGTTAGGGTAAAACTAGTTACTTTTACCCTAATTGTAAAACTTAACCTTGAAAGAATTTATTATACTTTAATTAAAAAAGTAATATTTCAGGTCAAATAAAATTAAGTGATTAGGATGTTGATATTGCCCACACTTCACAATAATGAAGTTGATCGCTTAGAATCAATTCTGCTTCTTGTTGATAGTTTGTTTTGTATGTTGTTGATCTTCTGATTTTTACTAGCTTTAGTTTGTTCTGTTTGTTGTCGATCTTCTGGATAATAATCTGGTTTTTACTAGTTTTTTCCTCTCTTTCAACTTGATATTGCTTCTGCTAGTTTATGGTTCAATTTGTTATGATAAGCAACCATTTCTTACGTAGCTTAAAATTTAGCAACCCACACTACCAACAAGATAGTCCCCCGTGCTTAAACATATTTAAGATACTGTTACTTAAGTTACTCAAACTACACATTAATTTTCTAAGGATTAAAATTATAATCTTTTATTATTTTGATTCTATCCTAGTTGAGAGGAATAACTTTTGAGTTGCAGGAAGGTTTTCTCATTTCATTTCCAAGTGTGTATTTAGAAATGCTTTTTAAAATTGATTTTAAGAAAACATAACACAACTTTTGTTAATGACAAAGAATATAATTATAAATCTAAATAAATAAACTTCAAGATAAATTTTGTTTAACCAATAAGCTACTAATAATTACTTTTAAATAGATTTGAATTTTTTGAGAGTTAATCACTTATACATTACCAGTGTAAAAACAATCAATCAAATTTGTTAATAGTGTCTTTTTATTTTAATCTAATTAAATGAGCAAATAATATGGCACTATTAACATATTTGATTGATTGTCAGTACAAAAATTATAGTAGTGTATAAGTGATTCACTCATTGTTAAATCTTCAAATCAATTCTACTAATAATCAAACATCCTACATAATTGTTTTGAATGCAATAAAATTAATTCTTAACATAATTAATCTGAAACCAAATATCCCTTGGATATCATAACAGAAACAAATTAAAACTTGTTATTATTCCCAAGCTAGTTTTATATCCTCCACCATCAAGTACAATAGACTGCCTTCAAGAATCACAGACACATCCCTCAGCATTCCTTTAGTCATTAAGTAAGCCCCAAATTCCATATTTCAAAATGGAAGATTACGCAAATCTCCCTTCCATCATTCAACTGGATTCAACTTAAAGATCAAGTCTGATTTCCATCTTCATTCAACTGAATCAAACTCCATGATTAACTCTGAGTGAGTGATAACAAGATGAAATCTTCACCTCCAAGATGAGGGATAAAAACACAGCCAACTGCAAACTTAAAATCTGTAATTTATAATTTATAATGAACATACAAACAACAGACTATCTAACAGTCACAAATTCACTCAAATGCTTCCCTAGAGTTGCAGCAAACAATGAATTAAATATTAAGATCCCAAATCAAAAACACGGTTAGTGTTAACAAAAAAATTCACATTTTCCTAGCATTCAACAATATTTGAAAACAAACTACTTGATAAGCAGCCAAAACTAATGCAACATTCTCATTGTTCAATTGTAAACATACATATAACCAAAAAAATTATTTTTATAATTTGGGCACTATAATTGCATTGAGAAGGAATAGGAAACCATCAGAAACCAGAATTTTATCCCCAAAAGCTATAAAAGCTGTACGGTCCGCATCATGGCTAGGGTTAAAAACCCCCATCATTTGGTTCCCTAATCCAATTTGACTTCCAATAACATAGCCTTTTACAATCAATTTAATTAAAAAAAAAAACACAATAAAAATCTCACTAAACTAAAATGAAGGATAACCAAGAGCTCAGATTGAATATGGGTATGAGAAACATTATCAGCACTGAATCATCAGAGTGGTGCATGACATTCTCAAGAAATCATCATAGCCCATAATATTCAGGGTTTCATTCAAAGACGCAAAAATAAGATTAAAGCAATACATAAACGAAAGAGAAGAGATCGGAAAACCTGCACAGAAGATGATGGAGAAGGTAGAGTTGCAGGGTCGCTTTATATAAGAGAGAACGCAGAAACCCTAATTCACTATTTGAAAGCCCATTAACTTTTTGACACATATACCCCTATTAGGTTTTCTGATTCCGAAGTGGCCCAGTCCATTCATAATCAAACCATACGGCCCAAACTTGGTGAGTCTTTCCAAATAATTTTACCAATTCCTGACCCAAAAAAATAATAAAGAGAGAGAGAGAGGAGAGAGAACACAATATTTACAAATAAATAAAAAAGTATTCGTAGTACCCAACAAAAAATGGATACAAAATGGTGATTTAAGTAATTAAATAATAGATAAAAAAAATGCAATTGAAATTCAAAAGCTTCCTAAAAAGTTCTTAATGAAATAAAAAAAAAAAAAAAATACTTCTAATTAAAACTAACCTGATGCTTAAGGATGTCAAGGGATACAAAAATCTTTTAATGTCAAATGTAAAATCCACAATAAATGGTTAATGGCAAGTGATTTTATGTCATTAAATTATTAACATTTCATACTTAAAGATCCTGTATACTGTGGTTATATTTATTTATTGTATTTTTTTTTATCAAATTCAATGAATATAAAATATAGTGACCTTTGTTTTTTTTATTATATATAATTTTTTCCTTGTTATACTATTTTTTTATGTAATATTTATACTTGAATCTATATCAGTATGTAAAGGATAGACCTCTTTCAATAACTTTTTTATCTCTATTTTTATATAAATATTTTACCCTCTTTTATTTTACTCATAAATTAAATCACTTTTTTTTTCCTATGTATTTTTTGTCAAAATTTTATTATCTCAAGTAACTAGTCATTACATAATATTTTTATTTTAATTAACTCCTATATATTAAATATAAACATCTATTTAAAAATATTGTAGTTTTTTGATTTGTAAAGAAATTATATCTAATTTATTTTTATAAATTTAATATTAATATTTTGAAATAAATTATATTAATAACTATGAATAAATTTTTGTTACGATACAAGTTATTAATCATGAATCTAAAATATAATTTATATGTTTAAAAATATTTATGCATATTAATTTTAAATATAATAATATATTCAAACATAGTATGTATTCTTAATTATATATTAGTGAAGAAAAAAAGTTAAATATAATATAAGAATATATTTATATTTGAAAGCTGAATACAAAAATAAATATATTTTTTATATATTGTTATAGATAATTTTAAAAGTCGTGGATGATAGATACATTTGGTTGGTCTAAAAAGAGATTATTTGTTAGAACTGGTCAAATTTTGTAGGGAGTTAGGAATAGTGACTTCATTCCTTACGACAGCCAAACATTCAATGACGAAGAGGATAATTATAACTTTTATCCTATGTTTTCTTAAAAGAAATGGCTTTTGGATTAAACATGAGCATGTTGATGTAAGTAAATTACTCAGGTCAGTCCAAATATAAGGTTGTGCAACCCTTGTTTTAGGCGTCCCTTAAAAAAGTTGCTTTTATTGATATTTTCTTTTTGCAAGGCCTTTATTTTGTACTCCCCAGAAGAATCATATCAAGGAAAGATAAGTTCAAGGTGTAATTATAATACAAGAATTTGTGTTTCTAAAAATAAAGTTAACGGATAGCATCATGATTTTGAAAATCGAATCGAATTTCATCCGTTAGATTAAGAATTGATTTTTAACTAATTGAGTTGGCTTAAAAAATTATTTTATGATGAATCAGTTATAAAATCAATCAAACTCGGTTAAAAATTAGTTAAATTGATTTGAATTGGTTTAATTAAAAAATATATTTGAATTTTTAAAATATTTTTTAATTAAAAAATTACAAACTAGAATAACTAATTTTCAATACTTGTTTTATAAATATAATTTAATTATTTTATGTAAATTTATCATTTTTAATGTTTTTATTTTTGTAATTTATATTTTATTAATTTGATACTTTTTATTTTATATGTAGACTTGTTATTATTAATGAGTATTTTATTAAAATTTAAACTTAAATATTATATTATATTTAGTTTAGGATTTTATGTATACATTAAATGTTAAGAACTTGTAAATAACATTTTATTTTAATTTTTACTATTATAAAATTATGATATTATATTTATTTAATATTATTTTTATATTGATAATAATTATTATTATTATCATTTTTTTAATACTAACTTAATCACAGTTTAATCATTAAATCTTGAATCAATACCTAAATCAATTTAATAACAAATCCAATTTTGAAAACATTGGTTAGGATGTATGGCTAATTGTGAACAAAAAAAAGATTACAAAATAAATTTGCATCGCGTGGTAATATGACAGTTAATAATTCTCACAATCATGATTTATTTAATGATAAAGACATTAACATTGATGTGCATCATTGCTATCAAAACTTGATTATTAACATTGATCTGCCAAAACCTCACCATTGTCACACATGTCTGATTGAGCAGAATAAGTAACAGGTTGAATTTGGGAAAAGACAATCAAACAAATTTTTTCCTTGGACAAAATGATAATGTGCCATCAAAAAATGAACTTAATACATTAATAAATTTCTTATTTCCAAATAAATTTATACTGTTCATATATCTAACGACACCTTTTACTTTTCCTCCGATAAATTACATTAAAATTATACTGTTTTATTATTCCACCCATGAACCACATGGTATATGGATGTGATTTCGCCCATATTGTCCGAGATAAAAAAGGTAGCATAAGCAAATTGAAATTGACGTCATTATAAAAGGGTAAATTTAATCTAGAAAAATGAATTCAGTAGTGGTTCATCCAGCTCTTTCAGGAGACTACACATGATGCATACGCCTCGATATACTTACGCGGGTATTATTCTGTGTCTCAATATACCTAGATTACCTAATGTTAGATATCTACACTTATATTTCAACAAATTCACCAAAATATAACGACGTAGTTCAAAATTTCACGTCGAAATAAACTATTCGTGCGTGACTATATATATACATTGAACTGTTGGTTAAAACACTATCTTCTACTTCTGGTGGTTGTTGCTTTGGATTGGAGATGCTGTCGCTTTCCACTAGGCAAGCCGCTATCACTGACACTTCCTTCAACCATAGTATCATGTCCATCGGTAAATTCCGGCGATCGCGATCTCAGAGGAACAAGATAACTATCATCCTTGGTGTTTCTCGACCGCTGCTCATGGCGTTTCACGTTTTCTGATATTTGATGGAAGGTTTTGTTTATCTTTGCAATGCCCCTTTCAACTGGTTCTACCACATGTGAAACCGTAAATTTCATGTCATCAACAATCTGAAACACAGACAGTGGATAACAGGCAGTTAGTCTGACAGGGGTATGAGAAGATTTCAAGGTTGAAAACTTGAAATGGTTTACAGTGTTCATCATATCTTACAATTTCGCCGCTTCCGACAACCACATCGCGAACGCTGTGGGTGAATTTCATAGGCTTTTCTCTCTCATTAGGTGCTCCCAGCCATGTTCTTGTTGAGCGCTCACAGTCCCGGACCTCCTCAGGGTCTGGAGGTGATCCCAGTGATGCATAGTTGGTCATCACTGCTACATTACGGACACATCGCTCTCCCCTTTTGTAAGGTTCTGCTGGGAAGACGTAAAGGTGCACAACAGCAGCCACGCCCATCTGTTCACAAATTTTAAGATGAGAAACCATATGAAAAATCTATTCCTAGAACTTCAAAATTATCGAAGACTTGTTTCAACTTTCAGGTAAAGTACACTCAAGAATTTATAGTATAAACATAAGTTAACATTTCAAGGAAGAACCTAGTTAACATGATACTTTTTACATGCAACAGCTAACCAGTCTAGTAGCCTTAAGTAACTAAAATGAGCCTGCCAGAGTAGTAAAGCAAAGCATTCACTGGTTGCAAAAGTGGCCCAAGAAAATATATTCCAACCTAATATTAATATTAGGTTCCAGAATGATCATTTCATGTACTACTGAAGTCCTTGTCAAAAATAATGTTTCATCTATGCATGTGCCTCATCTCCGGACATTCAGGAACAGGGAGGCCATGATTCCATAAGACATCTAAACAAGTGCATCCTTTAGGGCTTAATTGCCCGACAATGAATCAATGCTCACACGTGTTTTGCCAGATTCCAGAAAAAACAACTCTAAACAAGTAATACTAACATTTGATAAAAAACGGAAGATGGTTATAGTGATTCATAAAAAAGAAATAAAATTACAGAGGGTATACATAGTTATTATTCAGATGCAAGGTTATCGATGGCGGATAACGGTCTATGGCGGCGAGGCCAAAAATCCTTTATAACTCTATGGCGGATGCCATGGCGGCCTATGGCGGATGCCATGGCGGCCTATGGCGGATGCCATGGCGGACGTCATGGCGGACAAAAAAATAAAAATAAAAATATTTATATATATTATATACAAAGAAAACAGCAAAATAATAAATAACAAGCAACAAAACTAAATTAAAACCAACATAATATCAACTTAAATACTTAAATATCATAACAACAATACCATAATTCATCAAGTCTCATAACATAATTGATTAAATGTTGCTTTGCTCTTGTAATTCCCCCTTTCATGATTTTTTTACAATAATTGCATATAGTTTCATTGGTATCATTCTCTTTGGTAGGATGACAATGTTTCCATCCTATGTCTGTTCTCCTAACAAAGTTTGAGGATGTTTGACTTTGGCTTGGAATTGGATTGCTAGACATTGTCCTAAAAATAAGAAAAAGAATAATAAAATAGGCACTCAATGTTAGTTTAGAATTTAGAAGAAAATAGGAATTTAAATTGACCCAATTGGTAGAAGAATTGGGATTAAAAAAATTGTTGCTTGCTGCAGATGCAACAATGAATTCATTAACAAAGGACTCAAAGGAGTAGGAAAAATTAAAAGGAGGATTATAACTGAAAAAAAAAAGAAAAAAAAAGGAGGATTAAAACTGAAAAAATAAAAGGAGGAGGAGGATTAAAACTGAAAAAATAAAAGTAGGAGGAAGATAAAAACTGAAAAAAAAAGTAGGATTAAAACTGAAAAAAAAAAACCTAGTTTCGCCAGAGTTGCTCGCCGGAGTAGCTCGCCAGAGTACTGGGCCACCACGGTTCAGGTCGCCGGCCAGAAAGGGGACAAAGGGGCGGTGAACGAAGGTGATTAGGGGCGGTTTCAACTTCCGTAAGTGTTGTTGGCACTTCGTGGTTGCTGGCCGGAGTGTTGGGCTGCCGCGGTTCAGGTGGTCGGTGGCAAAGGTGACCGAAGTGCAGTGATTGGAGTTGAATAAAGGTGACCGGAGATGTTTAGGGTTCACTCCTCTTCAAGTGCAGAAAGTCGCGACTGTGAGGGAGAAGAGAGACGAGACGCGGAGACAAGCCAAAAACTTAGGGCTCACTCCATTTGGGCCTGTTTCAAAGCCCAAAAATAGGTTTTTTTTAAACAAAAACCGTCATGACCGCCATGCCCGTCATAAACCTTCACGGAGCCATGACCATGGCGGGCGCCATATCGGAAATGGCGGAAACTGCCATAAACCTTCATATAACGGATGGCGAATGGTGGTTTAGGTTCAAACCGCGACGTTTTTCCGTTATAACGGGGTTATAACGGATATTTGACAACATTGTTCAGATGTTAACACTTTATAGTTCATCTATTTCAATTCTTAGTTTACTTACCCATACTTATCAATTTCAGATAGCAGACTATAGTGGGACATTGGCATGGCTGCCACAAATATATAAATGCTCAAAGTAAAGGAGTATCCAAAATTGAAGACGTGTCTCAAATTAATAATCAAAAATCATAATTTAAAACACAATCACGATATAAAAAAAAGAAGAAGAAGGAAGATGCTAGCATTTATTAAAAAATAATAGACTTAACACTCCACGGAGAGGGTGTAATTAACAAAAAAAAATGAGCAGGAGGGCCAGCGAGGGTGAGAAACACAGCAAAATACAAAGTTGAACAGACCTGCAGGAATAGAGACTGAGTGTGTAGAGAGGGAAAGAACAGAGACCCGTGGGTGACATGGCTGGAAACAAGTGCATCTGCTGGAAAATGCCAGGCTTGGCCAGAAATGACGTAAGTGAGCAGTGGGTCATGGGTAGGTTTACTTGGTTTGACAAAGGTAAGCTATTAACTATAAAGTGTGTCTTGTGTGAATGATGTGTGAATAATCAAGGAAGTGTAAATAATCAAACTTTAATGTTTCTGATGCCAAAAATGGAGGTGGAATCACAAAAATGTAAAACAAATGGTTGAAAAACACAAAATAGGTACGAAGGTGGATTTTAATCCTTGCTTCGTTATAGTGCCACCAATTTGTCCCAGTAGCCGGTGCAAGGTGCAATGCACAGGCACCCTGTAGAAGCCTTATATCACACTTTCTTAATAATAATAGGTTTATGTGAATTCATATATAATACAGATATACAACAATTTGCTTGACATATCTATAAAAGAAAAATACCCACTACCTCAAATATCCATATTTGTGACATAGGTCTATGGTTTTCACACAGATTACAAATGATAATGAATAAAGTATAGATTCATTCAAAACATAAATGATAGAATATATCAATACACCTTACAATTAAATATTTAATAATGATGTATCAAACAAGACAATATAAATTATAAGCAGCACAAGTAGCTTACCTCTATGCAGATAATGTAGTCTTGTATACGTGTTTTCAACTCCTGAGCTAATGATCCCCTAAAAGCTCCCATATAAAAAAGGAACGCAACAGCCACACTTTGCCACCATGTCAGGAAGACAATTGACTTAAAAGTTAGAAACTTTGCCAATGGTTTGATTGGTTTCAACTTATCTTTAGTAACGGAATAGAACTGTACAAGGCAATATAGGGCCCATGTCTGACTAAAGTTAAGAATTAGTGCCAAATAGGGATACCTGCAAGCACAATAGTGAATCAGAATATAATGGGATAAAAAATTACTGCTACCCGAACTGCACCCCCTCCCCAAAAGGGTAAAAGCCTAAAAGGTATAGTCATCAATATTCATCTTTTCAATATATATATATATATATATATATATATATGAGGAGAGATTCACTTACTCCACTCAATAACTCATGTTTTATATCAAATTTCAATGATTCAATGGTTGAATTAAAAGTTCTCAATGCATATATCATTTCTGCATATTTTAAAAAAAATTGAAAACTATTTAATACTTCATTTCATTAATTCAAATTGACAGATAATCATAAAAACATTTTATTCGTTAATTTGAATTAACAAAATGAAGTACCAAATAGTTTTCAAATTTTAAAAAAAATAATTGCAGACTTAATCTATATATTAAAAAATTTAAATTCAATGGTTAGATCATTAAAATTTAGTGTAAAACATAAGTTATTGATTGGAGTAAAAGTAAATAGACTTACTCCTCCCCCCTCCCCCCCCCCCCCCCCCTCTCTCTCTTTATATATATATATATATATATATAAAAAGAGAGAGGGAGGGGATCAAGTTACTCATTAGAACTATTGGATTAAAAGAAAATGAGGGATGAGGATGGAGAGTAACTCTTTTAAAGTTACTCTTTGAGTAACTTGATCCCTCCTCAGATTTCCTCAAGCTTGAAGACCCAACAATGGTGAGCTTCAACTCCTAACCACTTGGTCATAGAGGCCATTCTATACCATGTCAATAACCAATTCTCCATAAATCTTATATAGATAGTATGAGAATAGGAGAAAAAAGAATGATTTTCATATCTCTAACAGTACAAATGTAAACAAGATTAAGACACAACCCAATACAATCTTACCCATATTTCCATTCAAACTTTCCCTCTCCATAAACCCCAAAAGATTGGAGAATTATTGCTAGTAATGCACAGATCAACTTCAGTATCATCTGAAATGAACATTACAGTAAGCAACAAATGAGAGATTTACTTTGCATAGAAACTGCTAAGGGAGGTTGGGGGTAGGTCGTAGGTGTTTAACAAAATCATACATACATATTGTACAATGCCAATTTTCACAGATTGATAGAAATCCGCGCCTAGATGCCAATCCCTCAAGAAGTGATTTAAGGGAAATGGATGCTCTACAACTCCGTATGCATATGCTTCTTTAATAAGAGGAATGCTGGAGTCCGTTAGGCTCATACTTTCCATAAATTGAATTGTTTTTTCCTCACCACCTATCAGAAAGAAAATAAAATGTGGTATTAAAAAGTAATGAGCATTACAACATAACTAAATTCAACCTACAAATAAACTGGAGATGTATCACATCCTCTGCTAGTAATGAGTTATAATATTTGGGCCTCTCACAGGGATTTCATATTTATTTTGATGAAGCTTGACACTTGAGGGAAGGAGAAAAGATGAAAAACCTATTAAAAGATCTTAGCATTTGTCATTTTGGAAAATATATGCACATGAACATTCAGTTATGAAAATCATATGGGCATACAATTCATTTGACATACCTAAGCAAGCTATCAAATATCTCTCAAAGCAGTATAATGCAAAAGCTTCATAGCATTCTCGGATTACTTCACTGTTAAACGCTGCACCAGAATCCAATAGTGACAAAAACTGCATCATATAAACATCAGAATTCAGAATTTAAGAGCACATTATTACATTCAATTTTAAAAAATAAAAATAAAAATAAAAAGAAACACAAAATTAAAAGATTAAGGACTGGATATGTACAACAAGCAAAAATGCTAATACTAAAGCTTTTTGCAAATCAGTGCTGATGGTCCATCTGGAAAATAAAGTCAAGATTTTATGAAATTTGTATTACTGGTTGGAGAACAGAATCTGGGAGTATATTATGAATTAAAAGATAACAGTTTTTCATTTAAGAATCAATCAATCAATCAATTAGATACCATATAGATAAAACTTTCTCAAATTAATCAAGTCCCCCAGCATAAAGATGCAGGAGAACAATCTACAAGGGGTGGAGCAGTGGAAGGGAGATGCATCTCTCTAGGCCAGGGCATTGTTCAATCCTTCAATAAACATTATGGGAAAAGGACCATACTGTTTGCTACCAACCTGAAGGTAGTTGGGGTCCTGGATTAGGCTGTGCTCACCCAATGGCACAAGTCCATGACCACCCAAAAGATTAATGTGAACAAGTTAAATTAAAAGTACAGCATTTTAGTTAGATAGTCAAATAAACTGATGCATAAATTCTTACACTTTCCATGACTAAATAGTTCTTTATGTAAAAAGCAAAGACACTTGTTCCTGAAGTTGAAAAGTAATTAAGTAAACCAACTAAACAACATGATCTGCTGCCTACAAGGTATGTTACAACCTACTCCTATGAGCTAGCAACAAAGTTTAGCTAATAACAAAAATTGAAAAATAGTGGCAAGATGAAAAATACTTAGATTGTATACAAGAAAAAGGAAACATGGATGTTCATTCATTACGATAAAAGTCATATATCCAAGTAAAAAAAATGTAAGAAAAGGAGAGAACAGATAGTATTATGGAATTTAGTTAGTGTCTCTTACTGATTCCAATGCATAAACGGGAACCATTAAAATGAGACCAATCAAAAACTTCTGTTCCTGTAAAAGTAAAATTAAAGAAAGAAAAAAGATTATAGACAATATAACAAAAGGAAAGGAAAAGGAAACACCGAGGTGAAACAGCCAAGTCAATTAAAAGGGAAAACAGGATGCACCTCAGGCTGATTATAGGCGCCTAAATGCTCGAAAACTAAATACATGGAGAGAACAAGAGCAACTAGCACAAATATACTTGCACTGAAGACTGTCAAACTCACAGTTCCTGTGGAGTCCACACCTAGGTTTTGTGGCCACATATTCCCTGCTCTGCTGGTAGACTCGACTGGGATTAAAAGAAATATGGAGGAACACAGAATACCCACCAAACCCACTGAATAGAAACTTGTAATTTGTCTTCAAAATTGGTGTGCTATTCATCACATCTATGATACACTACATGTGAAGTGTCTATGCCCCCCAGAAAGCTCTAATTCTATCTAAGTTTCCCTCTTCCTATCTTGGTATAACAGCAATTTGTCAAATTTAATAGGCAAATGCAGAACTAACAATTTGCACCAACAATTAGCTACGATCCTTGCGTTTAGTTCACCTGTAAAATCCAAAACGAGATAGCTCAATAATCCTGCATTGGCAATCACATATATTAATGATTAAAGTAAAAAAAAAAAAAAAAAAAAATCTCCACACTACTCTGTGCTTCAAGGCAAGTACTAGAAGTTCAATTAGCAAGTGTATACAGCTATAATAATCTAAGAGACACAATCAGAAACATAAAAACCTTCAATTATACACCGTTAGTTTCAAAATACACATTTGCCACCGACAAGGTATATTAAATGTAAAATAATAATTAAAATATATATATATATTGGCAAAAACCCTAGGCTTGGGAAAAGAAATACTGTGGGTATGGAAACAAGCTCCGGTGCATTAGAAACAGAAGAACAACAATGATGCCATGTCGAAAGAAAATGAGGAAGAAAGTTGAAACCTGTTCTCTCGACTCTTATTTTTCTTCTACAGGGAAAATGGAGATGGGTGCATTTTACCAAAATAGAATGCGACTTTGCTTTTGCAGTTGGGAAACAAAATCGCTAAATTCGAGAAAAATAAAGATAATTATTTGGATTGAGTGAAGGCAACAAAACCAGGATATGCTTTTTTTTTATAATTAAATCATATAATAAAAATAACTTTTAAATATATGAGTCATATATTATAATTAAAATAACATAAAATAATAATATTTCTTATCATATAAGTTATATTTAAGTTTATAATAAATAATTAATATTATAATATAATATTACTTTTTATTTGTGATATTTTTTTAAATATTAAAATTTAATTTAAAATAACTAAAATATATGTATAAAAATTAACGTTTTTTTTAAGTAAAAATTACCTTTAAATGAGAGAAAAAAGATAATATAAAAATGTATATTCTTAAAAATGAAAATAAGTCAGACCTTTAATTTAAATTTATTATAGATATGAGTGAAGTTTATATGACCTATTTGTGTAAAACTTAGGCTTAAAGCTTATAAAACTCTAATTATTTAAAAAAAATAGATTTAAAGTTTATAAAAAGTTTGTTAGATTTGATAGACCAATTTTTTTATGTTAACCTAGTTGTCCACATTTATGTGGTGGCTAATATCATTGCTACATCACCACTTAACAATGCTACTTGATGATAGAGACCGAAAAAATGACGAAGAATAATTGATGGAATAAATTCGATGAAAAATATTATTGAGGAGCTAAAAGTGAATTTTATAAAAAGACGAGAGACTAAGACTAGTAAAAAAAAAAATAGGTTAAATTACACTTTTAGTCCATCTATTTTTGTCGATCTGTAATTTTAGTCCTCGTATTTTAAAATAGAGACATTTAGTCTTCATAATTTAAAAAATATAAAATTTTGGTTCTGCCCTTATATTGACATCAATTAGTTATTAAGTTTTAATGTTTACTTATACTTAAACGATGTGACATTTAATGACATAACATTTGGAGATAAAAAAAACATATGCAAATAAGATTTATTAATGAAATATATATCAATCACTTGTTAAAATAAATATAAATGAAGATCTTTTGTATTCTTTTTTAATTTTTATTTCAAAATATTACGTCACTAGATATCACATCACTTAAATAATGACGGGTCACTTATTAGAATACTCCATGCATGACTATAATTGTTAGGTTGTTAGTTGTCAAGTGGTGTTTAGTTAAAACAGAACTTTGTACCTTCCTTGTTATAAATATAAGGATCCTTGTATATAAACTCTTGTATATAATGAAATACTTCAAATTTAGAATAAACTCTAGTATATTCGTTTCTCTCTCGTTGAGACAAAAATCTAATATGATATCTAGAGCTTGATGATCCATAACCATGACTCTCGCACGTGAACCAATTTATTCGCACACTCCTCCTCCAAACTCCTCTTCCTTTTTAGTGTTAACTGCTTTTTCTCTTATGAACTCAAAGAAGCTAACAGAAAACAATTTTTTCCTATGGAAATAGTAGATTGAATCGATATTCAAAGGCCACCAATGATACCATTATTTGGTGAATCCAAATATTTCGCTATTATTTCTCATCAAAGAAGATTGTAGTGTTGACAATGTTAATCATGCATATCTTCAATGGGAACAACAAGATTCCTTACTTCTTTCATGGTTTCAAGCATCGATTTTAGCATTGATTTTATGTTGCTTAATCGGTTGTGTTCACTCACAACAAATTTGGGACAAGTTTCACAATCACTTCAATGCATACACACATGCATGTTTGAGAATGTTCCACACTGAATTGCAGAATATGAAGAAGGAGGATAATACAATCTCTAAGTACATTCTTCGAGTCAAAGCCATTGTCAATGCTCTCTACTTTATTGGTGATCCAGTCTCCACTCAAGAATAACTTAATGTTATTATTGAAAGTTTACTAGAGGAGTATGATTCCTTGATTAATTTGTTTACAAGTCGTTTCAAGCAATATGATCTAGATGAACTTGAGGTGTTATTATTAGCACAAGAAGTTTATTTGGATCGCTATTGTTAAAACAATGTCCAAATGTTGTTGCTCATCTATCTCAATCTACCAAGAAGAATAATTTTGCAAATGAAGAATTAAAATCGCAAGCCAATATTGCAAATAGTTTGCAATTATATTTTGCAAACCTTAACTATCAAAATAGGAGAAATGGCAGAGTCAGAGGTAGAGGTCATGGCCATGGTCGAAGTTTTATTTAGTGTTAAGTGTGTAATAAATCTGGACATAATGCCTTTGTTATCATTGATTCAACCCATATAATTCCTTTTACTTAGAACTTTAATGCCAACCATAATCCAAATAACTTCCAACATTTTGGTAACAATTTGGAGGCAATAAGTAGTTTATGAATAATAGTGGTACCACTCAATAATTTGGAAACAATCATAGCACCAACTAGCATAACCACTACAAGAAAAAAGTAAATTTTCAACGAAAATTTTCGACGAATATGGATCCGTCAGAAATTTCTGACGGATATTTCCATCGGAAATTTTCGACGGATTTATATTTCTATCAAAAATTTCTGATGAAATTTTCAGTCGAAAATTTTCTGTCAAAAATTTCCGACGGAAATATAAATCTGTCAGAAATTTTTGACAAATTTTCCAACGGAAAATTTTGTCGGAAATTTCCGACGAAAAATAAATCTGTCAGAAATTTTTGACAAAAAATTTCTGATGGAATATTCCGTCAGAAATTCCGACGGATTTATATTTCTATCAGAAATTTCTTATTTTTAATTATTATTTTTAAATCTTATTTTTAATTTTTTATTTTAATTTCTTATTTTTAATTTATTATTTTTAATTTTTTATATATATTTGTAGTATTAAAAATTTTATATATCTTTTAAAGGTATAAATATATATTATAATTATTTATTACAAGTTTTTTATATCTACGATTAGTATTAAAGATGAAAATAAATTAGGTTATACTATATTTTATTATAATTTACTTGGTTTGAACCTAACTTTCTTTAAAAATATATATTTTAAGTGTGACTTATTTATCTATCATAGATAATTTTTAAATATTTGGGTAGAACTACAAT